TCCGTTTTGAATATGCCCTGGCTTACCTGAGCTCGAGGTTTCCAAAGCTGATAATTCAATTCGTCACTTAAATATTGGTATTTCATCGCAGTTACAGAGCTTAGATGTATTGTGTCATCCTGTCTCGATGCGATGCGTGGAGATTATGGAATGTTGAACAAGCCCGTTTGGCAACCACTTAAAAGTATCGCACCGAAATCGTGTCAAGTCGAACTGGGCTGCTCGCCCCCTAATGTGATCGTCACCCCATCTTCGCACCTCTCTTTACTATAATTTAGAAAATAAGGTGGTCCGGAAGTTTGCGAATGTTATAACTTGTTGCACCCGATTTCTGTTCCCAAAGCAGAAAACCCGTCAAGTGAACTGGTTCCGGAACACACGAAAGCCGAGGAGGTCGCACCCGAAGAATGCTCTATTCCAAAGAAAGAGACGGGTGATTCTGATCCCTACGTTGTGCACATTGAAGAACCGGAAGAAGATTTGGACTATGACCTCAAGACCGAAAGTATTGTTTCGAAGGAAGCCGAGACTTGTACCGACCAAGGAAAAGTCGAAAAGGATGTTCTAAAGGACAGGTTCGTCCCATTCACCGTGCCGAATAAGCGCGTCTACTCCATAAAAAAACAGCTGACGACCGTTCTTTCTCTTTCAGTGATAGTGCAATGCAGCAAGTGAAGGGTAGGATAGATTCTTAGTTGACATAATTTTGCAGACCTATCGAATTTACGCGTTAGCAACTTATCGAAGTCTACCAAAGCAGCGGATTTGAAGCAGCACTTTAGTGCGCATGGCAAGGTTAGCCACCTTTAGCAGTCAAGTCATAGAACAGGTTTTGTCTGCCAAAATATTGGCAAGTACACGTTCACGAGGTTGTTTTGGATTTCTAACAATGGCCTCAAGTGAGGATGCAGCAAGCTGCATCTTAAACCTTGACGGCACTGAATTCAACGGAACAGTTATCAAAGTGGAAGTTACAGACAAAGAGCCGGTTTCTTCAAAAGCCCTTATTCAATCAGCAAAGGATCCTATTTCCGTTAAGGATGTTAGAAAACGTGCTGTGAGACGGCGCTTTCGTGGAGGTATGTTGTTGGATATTTGATCACTTCAACTCAACAAACATAGCGCCTTACATACGCGTATTATCTCGGAGAGCTGGAGCACTATTGGACTCAACAAGGCGTTATTATCGGCCGGCGTATGCGACGGCACATCTCACACGGACGGTTAACCGAGCCTCAAGATACTTATCAAGATCAGCGGTGTCTACAACTTCTCGAGGTCTGGAGTACCTACGACGTCCTGTTCAATCACCCAGGCCACGGCCTGCAACAGTGAGTCACCCAGTGTATTATTAAGAATCAGTTAACTTGTCTGAGTTTTGCACGCCTCGGAGGCCGTTTCGTTTGAAAGTGTTGTCTTATGTGATTTGGTGGCTACCACAAGAGTCCCTTGTCTTGCCAGAGGAAGCTCAATCGGAATATCCCGATAAGAAGCAGTTTTCGGATGGGGCAAAGTACTTTCTGATAATATTTAAAAGTCATTGGCTTTGAACAAAGTTCATGTGCAAGTACCAGGAGTTATCGACTTTTACATAACATTGAGCCGGTGCTGACTGTCCTTATTTTTTCAATGTGAACAGTGCTTTCGGCTGTACAGTACGCCACCAACTGCATCTGATGCTAATGATTTTGGAGTTGTCAATCGAGGAGGGAACTTGAGAACAGTAATTCGTGATTCGTCTGGGACTCGATTTCGTGATTTCATTCCTGGGAGCCTATTTAACGAGGCTCGTTGGTCTAGTTGTCTTTATCAGATTCCTATAAGAA